ATCACATATACAGTGAATTCCCCATCACTGACACACTCAGGATCACACATTCAGGGAGTTTCCTCTTGGCTGTGTTCAAGATCAACGCTCAGGGTATTCCCCATCACAGCCCCCCACAGGCAGAGCACGGTAAGTGGAAGATGGAAAATAGTTGTGCACTGGACCTAGTCTCACTGCTCATTGGAGCCCATGGCTGCTTCACTTCTCAGAACACGTTTGGGTTCCTCATTTCTCGTGCTACCGTGGATTGATCTCTCCCCCTGTCCTGCACTGGATGGTCAGTGTGGATCACATGTACAAATTCTCGACAGATGCTTGAACGCAACAGTTTTCTGCTCAAGAATTAGTGCTACAAACAAGTGAGCTGCATGCCTCTAGCATGAATAGACAAGGTGCAGGCATTACTTTGACGTATGTGAGAGTGGGTTGACAATTTTATTATTTGGAACAATGGGCTTTTGCTTATATAACACGGCCCCAGGACGTCCAAAACTGCTGTACAAACTCTGAAATGCAGTCACCAATATACGATAGAGAATTATCAGGCAGCAAGCTCCCAATGTGACATTAGCAGAATGATATGAGTTTGTCATTTTGGTTCAGAGGCAAATATAAACCAGGGCTCCTGGAATGTTGTACCCGAGAGTGTGTTTAGAAGGTAGTTTATCATCTCATCTGAAAGATCCCACTCCTTTGGTACTGCACTGAAAGTATCAGCTCAGACTTTCTACTGAAAGCTCTGGATTTGGGGTTTCTGAAGCTGAATCGAGTGATCCGTGACTGACAGTAATCAGTTTAAGGACGAGGATTGTAATTTGCTTTTTGAAAGAAAGGTGATGGACTGAAAATTGCTGAAATACACCAAAAGCTTGAAAGTGGAGCTTTGTGTCCCTTACTTTTAGCAAAGCCCTTGTCTCATTCTCGAACTCAAGACTGAGGCCACTCAGCCCACTTGAGCCGTGCCAGTTCTCTGTACAGCAACGCAGTCAGTCCCATTTAGCCCGCTCCAGGTCCACAGTTCGGCAAGTTCACCTTCCTCAAGTGCCCATCCAATTTCCTTTGGAAGTATGAGTTGGAGGGTTGAGGTGGGTTGGGGGAAGGGACTGTGGAGGTGTATCTAAACTCCTCCCTCGGTATGTGGGTACGTGCACACACACTGGGCAGACTCACTCCAAACCTGGCGCCCTTTCGCAAGTCCGCTTGATGCTCTTCCTCGAACGCACTGCTTCCATCTTCATCAGTGGTGAAGCTGACCCCCCCCGAGTATATGAAGTAGAAGCTGTGTGCGTTCTGCCCTTTCTTCATGATCACCCTCCTCCTCCTGAATCTAGGGTAGAAGCAACAAACATGAGCAACCATTTTTGCCATCAGCTGTATTCTTTGCCCTCCAGCATGCCCCTCCACACCACCCTCCCCCACATTATCCATCCTCCATGTGCTGCCTCACACTACAAAGCACTTCATTTCACAAGTTGTCCCTCAGTACCTCACCTGATCAGTCAACTTTCACCTTTGACCCCGAGTGTTGCAAGACCCTCGACCTACGATCGACTTCAATCCTATGTTCATTGATACACCTTGGTTTCCCAGGAAACATCGGTGGATAGTCACTGGTGGGAATTGATACTGGCACTGGACGGGTAACCTAGGGAACCAGGTTAGTTCTGTGGTGGTACAGGTTCAAGACTCACTAAGGCAGTTGTTGGAACTTAAATGTAATTAATAAAATCCAGTGGTGACCATGATAACTATTATTGGTTGCTATAGAATCTTTTGATTTCCCTAATGTCCTTTAGGGAAGAGAATCTGACATCCTTGCCTGGTCAGGCCTACACGTGACTCAAGAACGAAGGCAACATGGCTGACTGTTAACTGCCCTCTGACATGGCCAAGCAGGCTGCTCAGTTCAAGGGCAATTAGGGGTGGACTACAAATGTTTGCCTTGCCAGCACCCCTTCATGGAAGATGCTTATTAAATAAGGAAGCTAGCCCTAGACAGTACTGGACACTGGTAATGTTTTATTTACTTGCACATGGGATGCTAGGCCAGCGTTTATTGCAACATTTATTTTTTGGGTTAAATTGAATTCAAGTGTCACCATCTGCCATGGTGCGACTCAATCCCATTGGTCTGGCGGTTCTGAATTAGTATTCCAGTGACATTATCACCACCAGCACCAGGTCTGTGTACCTGGGTGTGGTGTATCAGGTAATTGTGTCGGGAGTGTGTATCTGGGTGTATTTACCAAAGACTGGTTAGCAACCAGTACGTACCAGGATTATTTAGAAGTCAGTGTTTTATCAGGCAGTGTGTATCAGGGCTACGCACCAGAACCCCGCATACTGGCTAGTTTATACAGGAGAGTTCCAGGCTATGTGTATCAGAGTCTGTACAGGAAAGTATATCTCAGAGAATGTATATAGAGAAGGGTACCATGTGTCCCACAGAATGTATGCAGGGCATGTATGTTCGGAGGAGCATGTACTGGACAGTGTGTACCTAGGAGTAAAGACAATCAGTTCTTAAGCAATGTGACGGAACATATAACTTAGGACACCACCAGCTTCTCGAGGGCAATCAGGGACCAACAACAAATGTTGGGATTGGCTACAAATGTTGGCCTTGTCAGTGACGTCCACATTTGCAGCGGAGGGTCTAACAGAAATAAGTTTTGTCACATCAAGCTCTTGATACCACTCAGTCATCAGCGTCAGTCCTTATCCATCTCACCCCCTTCTTCACAGCTAACCAAGTTCCCAGCTCCTGTCTTTGGAGGAGTTTGACAACATGAATGTAATTCCTCTAACTGGGACTCTATTTCATTGATCAATTGCTCGGCCTGGGAAAGGGGATAACGAAAGAGAATATTTTCTGTTTTACTCAAAATTGGTGCGGGATTGCACTGTTTGGGACTTGCTGATCACTGCAGTATTTGCTGCCTTTAACTTAGGGGATGGCCGGGGTTAACCAACCCTCCAGGAATGTTCCAGAATCTCCAGTAAATAAACATTGATAGAACATAGAACAGTACAGCACAGGAACAGGCCCTTTGGCCCATCATGTCTATGCTGACCATGATGCCATTCTAACCTAATCCCATGTGCCTGCACATATCTATTCCCTGCATCTGTCTAAGTACCTTTTCAACGTTGCTATTGTATCTGCTTGTACCACCTCCCCGGGCAGCGGGTTCCAGGCACCCACCACTATCTGTGTTAAAAAAAATGTTCCTAACACATCTCCATTAAACTTGCCCCCTCTCACCTAAACCTATGCCCCCTAGTATTTGATATTTTCACCCTGGGAAAAGATTCCGACTATCCACCCTATCCATGCCTCTCATAGTTATATATAGTTCAATCAGGTTTATCCCCTTGGCCCCTGATGCTCCAGTGAAAACAATCCAAGTTTGTCCAGCCTCTATTTCTAGCTAATACACTCCAATACAGGCAGACAGCCTGAAAAAACCTCTTCTGCATGCTTTCCAAAGCCTCCACATCCTTTCTGTCGTGTGGTGACCTGAACTGTACACAATACTCCAACCGTGGCCTATCTGAAGATTTATATAGCTGCAACATGACTTGCTAATTTTTATACTCACTGCCCCTGACCAACGAAGGAAGCATGCTGTACCTCTTCTTTACCACTTTATCCACTTGTGTTGCCATTTTCGGGGAGCTACGGACTTACATCCCAAGATCCTGCTGTATATCGATAAGGCTCCAGCATTTACTTTACCCTTGTATTTGATCTCCCAAAATACCTCAACTTCATGTTTGTACGGATTAAACTCCATCTGCTAATTCTCCTCCCAACTTTCTAAACTGATCTATATCCTGCTGGGTCCTATGACTATCCTTTCATTATCCACAACTCCACCAATTTTCATGTCATCTGCAAACTTACTAATCTGACCCCCTACATTTTCATCCAAATCATTTATATATATTACAAACAACAGAGGTCCCAGCATTTATCCTTGCAGAACACCACTGATCACAGACTTCCAGTCAGTAAAACACCCCTTCACAACTACCCTCTGTCTTCCATGACCAAGCCAATTTTGTATCCAACTTGCCAACTCACCATGGATCCCATGTGACTTAATCTTCTGGAACAGCCTAACGTGAGGGACCTTGTCAAATGCTTTAGTAAAGTCCACGTAGACAACATCCAACAACATGCTGTGCCCTCATCAATCATCTTCATTATTTCCTTGAAAAACTCAATCAAATTTGAGCGACAAGACCGCCCCTGCATAAAGCTGGCTACCCCTAATAAGTCCATTCTTCTCCAAATGCAAGTAAATCCTGTCCCTAAGAATCTTCTCCAACAATTTCCCTCCCACCAATGTAAGGCTCACTGGCCTATACTTTCCTGGATTATCCCTGTTGCCCTTCCTAAACAAAGGAACGACACTGGCTATTCTTCTGAGACCTCACCTGTGGCTAAAAAGGACACAAAGATCTCTGTCAAGGTCCTGGCAATCTCCTCCCTTGTCTCCCTCAGTATCCTGGGATGGATCCCGTTGGCCCAGGGTACTGCTCAACTTTAAAGCTTTTCAAGGCACCCAACATCTTCTCCTTCTTCTTATTGACATGCCCCAGAATATCAACATTTCCCTCCCTAATCCCACAATCATCCATGTGGTTCACCTTGGTGAATACCAATGGGAGGACTTTCTCTGGCTCTGCCCATAAATTCCCTCCTTTGTACTTGAGTGGGCCTACCCTTTTCCCTCGCTACACTCTTGCTCCTAATAAACATATAAAACACCTTGGGGTTCTCCTTAATCCTCCTTGCCAAGGACTTGACCCCTTTGTGACCCCTTCTAGCCCTCTTAATTTCCTGTTTTAAGTTCTTTTCAGCTTCCTTTATACATCCTCAAGGGCCTTGTTTGATTACAGTTTCCTAAACATTACATATGCTTCTTTTTCCTTTTTAACTAAACTTTCAATATCTCTTGTCATCCAAGGACCCCGAATTTTGCCATCCTTATCTTTCATCCTCCTTTACTGTGAGGCACAAAGGAAGCGGGGACCTTGCTGACCGTGATCCAGTGGGATCTTGTCGATTCTAATCCTCTGGGTTCTTGCTGACCCTGCTCTCCTGGCATAACAAGATCATAAGATATAGAAGCGGAGTTAGGCTATTCGGCCCATTGAGTCTGCTCCGCCATTCGATCATGGCTGATATGTTTCTCAACTCCATTCTCCTGCCTTTACCTCATACCCCTTGATCTCCTTACTAATCAACAACCTATCTGTCTTAAATACACTCAATGACTTGGTCTCCACAGCCCTCTGTGACAATGAGTTCCACAGATTCATCACCCTCTGTCTGAAGAAATTCCTCCTCATCTCACTCTAAAGAGTCGTCCCTTCACTCTGAGGCTGTGCCCTCAGGTCCTAGTCTCTCCTCCTAGTGGAAACGTCTTCTCCACGTCCACTCTATCCAGGCCTCTCAGTATTCTGCAAGTTTCAGTGAGACCCTCCTCATCCTTCCAAACTCCATTAAGTCCAGACCCAGAGTTCTCTACTGCTCTTCATAGGACAAGTCCTTCAATCTCAGGATCATTCTTGTAAACCTCCTCTGAACTTCCTCTAACACCAGCGCACTCCCCCTTAGATCAGCCTAAAATTGCTCACAATATTCCAAATGCAGCCTTGTACAGCCTCAGCAGTGTATCTCTACTCTTGTATTCTAGCCCTCTCGAAATGAATGCTAACACTGCATTTGCCTTCCTAACTGCTAAATGAAAATGTACGTTAACCCGAGGAGACTCCTGAATTAGGACTCCCAAGTCCCTTTGTGCTTCAGATTTCCGAAGCCTCTCCGCCTTTATAGCAAGCTCCCATAAGTAGAAATGAGATAATGATCAGATTGTCTGTTTTGGGATGTTGTTTGAGGGATAAATATTAACCAGGGAAAACTGTCCTGCATTTCTTCAAGATACTGCCATCTTTCACAGTGACCTGAACAGAGAGCTGGGCCCTGTGTTAAATGTCTCATCCACAAAGCAGTGTCTCAGACAGTGCAGCATTCCCTCAGTACTGCATAGTACCGAGTGGGCAGTAGTACAGAGCTGAACTATGAACCCACAATCAACAAAGACAGAGGTGTCAATGTTAGGACTGCAGCTCCTTTTAGGATCAACCGAAAGATAGTTTCCTCGCCAACGTGTTCAGTAACATTGTTACACAGCTCTGCAACAGGTGCGACTAGAACCTGGGCCTCCTGGCTTAGAGGTAGGAACACTACCATCAATGCCAGAGGTGCCCTCGATGGTTAGTGAGAACAGGTCCAGAGTTGATGGAGTGCAGAAGATGCTCTTTGGACTTTGGCTTTAAGAGCTGAGATTTTCACAGCTACGGGGTGTCCTTGGAGAGGGAACAAATGGTGCCACCAATACTCTCAATGCCTAGAGAGAGAGGGAGGGGGGCATCGCAGGGGATTCAGTGCTTTACCTTCCCTTTCAACTCCAATTTGATTTCGCCCGTTCCCCCTCTCCCTCACCTTTGACACTTTGCACTGCCCTTAAAGGACTTTGCACCTAAATTTTTCAACTGGGTAAATGTACCGGCGGTGGGTGATAGAAGGAGAGTGACCGCGGGCGATTCGGTGCTGTCGGAAAAGAGACATTGGGTTGTGTGAAAGGGCACTTCTGGATATAAAGAAAAGGGCTGGGATCTCCATCTGGAGAATGTGGTGGCGGTGGTGCAGACTTAATGGGTTCAAAATACCACCATGGCAGATATATGTTGAAGTACACAGGCCAGGCACACACCCTGTAGTACCCATTTTCCAGTATGTACAAGCACAGAGTATGCACTCCTCATGCATCCGCATCTGGTACAAACACACTCCTCAGTATAGACTGTCGAAGCTGAATTTGGATGACCGCCCCCCCGTCCATAGGTCTATTTCCTTTTCTTCTTCCCTCTCCCACACCTCTGGTGTACTTGCCCTGCCCCCCGACACATTAATTGGTCATTAATTGGAAACACGGGGTGATTCAGTTGTGGAGGATAAAGGAAAAGGAGACACGGTGGTTTAGTGATGGGGAGAAACAAAAAAGTTTGAGGAAACACTTCCGGATATAAGGAAGAGGGGAAAAGAAAAGAGCCGGGTTACTTTTGGAGGGAGGTGGGCACCATGGTTGTTGGCGGGGGGAGGGAAGTTGATGGGCGATGGCAAAGTCATAGAGTCATAAAGCACGGAAACAGACCCTTCGGTCCAACTCGTCCATGTTGACCCGATATCCTAATAAATTAATCTAGTCCCATTCGCCAGCATCTGGCCCGTATCCCTCTAAACCCTTCCCATTCATGTACCCATCCAGATGCCTTTTAAATGTTGTAATTGCACCAGCCTCCACCACTTCCTCCGGCAGCTCCTTCCAAACACGCACCACCCTTCTGCGCGAAAATGTTGCCCCTCAGGTCCCTTTGAAATCTTTCCCCTCTCACCTTAAGCCCATACCCTCTAGTTTTGGACTCCCCTATTGTCTTATTTCCCTCCACAACTTTGTTTTAATTGAGTCCCCTCCCTTACCTTTCCTCACTTCTGTTTTTGTGGCAGGCAGTGCTTGTAAAATTTCAGTTTAATTAGAAACACAGATGATTTTGGAATACTGCGCGCAATTCTGATCGCCTTTCTAGAGGATGGATTGTTAAACTTGAGAGGGTGCAGGAAAGATTTACAAGGATGTTGCCGAGATTAGAGGGTTTGAGATATGGGGAGAGGCTGAATAGACTGGGGCTTTATTCCCTGGAGCATCAGAGGCTGAGGAATGGCCTTATAGTGGTTGAAAAAATCATGAGGGACATGGATAGGATGACTAGCCAAAGTCTTTTTCCCCAGAGGAGGGGAGTCCAAAACTAGAGGGACATAGGCTTAAGGTGAGAGGGGAAAGATGTGAAAAGGACATGAGGGGCAACATTTTCCACACAGTGGGTAGTGTGTGTATGGAACGAACTGCCAGAGGGGGTGGTGGAGGCAGATATGATTATTATATTTAAAAGGCATCTGGATCAGTACATAAATATGAAGGGTTTAGGGGCATGGATCAAATGCTGGCCAATGGGACAAGGTCAGATTGGGATATCTGGTCAGCACAGATGAGTTGGACCGAAGGGTCTGTTTCTGTGCTGTATGACTCTATGACTCTATAACTCCATTTTGATTTAGCTCCCTCCCTTATTTCCTTTACTTTCTAAGTGTGACACTGCCCCCGGTGGGCGTTGTGAGTAACCTTGTTTAATTAGTTATTATTCAGCTAATTTGGTGGGTTCTGCTTTAAGAAAGAGCCATACCTTGAGGGATCTTGTGGCGCAAGTGGTAGTATCCGTACCTTTGGACCAGGAAACCCAGGGTCAAGTCCCACCTGCCTCAGCGGTGGGCGTCATGGCATTGCTGGACATGTCGATGTTAAAAAGAGGAAACTGGGCTCATCCCTGATGAGGAATTGGCTTCTGGGCAGGGAAAGATGGACACTGATGTTGGTGCTAAACCATAGGTTTACAACAAAACCCACGCAAGGGTCTGAAATTTAATGCATGGATATATTAAACCAAAGGTGAGGTGACTATTAACTGGGTCTCAGTGGCAGTACACTGCACTTACTAAAACTTCACTCAAATGCTGACTGATTCTGCTGGGTCCCCAACTGGAGAATCACAGAAGGGATACAGCACAGAAAGGGAAGCCACTTGGCCCATTGGTTGGTGCTGGCTCTCTGCAAGAGTGACTCACTTAGACCTTCGCCCTTTGCCTGCGAATGTTTTTTTTTCTCTCTCTCTGTTTTCAGGACGTTACCGTTCGTATCGCATTATTTTTGCCAGCATGAGCTGGTAGGACTTGCTGTAGTGTCTGATGCTCAACAGAGACCGGAGAGAAGACAAGACCAGCTCCAAATCTTCCATCGACCGCTTCTCAGGTACCTTCATGGCGACCTGAATCGCTCTGATAGGAAATCTATTCTGCGGATGCAAAACGAGTATCAGTCACAAACAAACCTCAGACACTTCCGCTTTCACGTAGGCTCAGGAAGAGATTGACAGGGGCTCCAAATGCGGTGATCCGCTCCAGAGATGAGGAAGCCGCGACAGTAAAAGACCTGGAACTTTGTACTGTGCAAGCGCCATGATGCTATCTTCAGCACCCAGTCCCAGAAGGTATGCCACTACCACCTTCTAAAAGGTAGGGCAATGGTAGAAGTCCCACCCTCCCCTCCCCCTCACAGACGTGGCCTTCAAGATGGCTGCTTTGGCCAACAGTCTACGGTCCACTACCTCCTGGGACGTGCCTTTGCAAAGCAGTTCTGGAGAGAGACGCAGTGGTCTTTTTCTTACAAAGACTGACTGTCGCACACTTCCACCTTCTATGGTCTAGGACAACATGTCGAGGGATCACAGCCACCAATACGCCAAGGGGCTTTAACTGTGTAAAACCCCCCGCTCCCAAGCTATACGATCGACGTGGATTGAATCTTGTAATTGTTGGCTGTAATTTTAATTGTCGTGACTAACACATAGCATTAAAAAACTCATCTGATTTGCACCTTAACGTAACGTCAACTTGGAATGGTCTTTAATGGTATCCAGGGAACAGGGTGGGTAAAAGGCATTAAAGTGTTCGATCGTACGGAACACCAAGAGAGACTCAATGGGCTGAATGGCCTACTGCTGTTCCTATCTTTTTTTATGATATATCCATTGATAAATGTTACGAATAAAATATATCTCGGGGAAAGCATCTGCTGTCCTTTCCACTGATGCTCGCACTCCTGAACTACATTTTATTCTGCCCCTGCCCCACCCTCCACCCCCAACAACAGAGAGGTAAGCCAAGCTGTGGAATTGCGTTTCCTCCAATGCCTCAGACGTTGTGTGTGAGCACAGAGTCAGCATTTGGGGGATACGAGAGTTGTTGAGCCTGTGGGGTGTTGTGGCTCGGCGGGGTGGGGCTGGTGGGGGTTGGGGGGAGGGCAATTGGGGAATTCTCCACTGTGTGTTGCGGAGGTGAGGGGGGCAATTGAATGCGGGTGAAGTTGATGGAAACACAGGGATTCTCTAAACAGGAAGCGAGTGGCTACCTGGACACAGGCTTTTCATTGTACACCTTGTAGTTGGGCCTCAGACAGCAGTCCACTAGGCCGCGTCGGGAAAAAAAAACACATTGGATGGAGCCTTGTTGGTGTGAAAAATCAGCTTGAACTTCCCCACCCCAAAGCCCCCCAGCAACCATTGCTGTTTCAGAGCTCAGAGCCTCACTCACCAGGGGGTTCCGCCCCACGAAGCCCAGCTGTACAGAGCTGGAAGCCTGGGCTGGAAACCAGAGAGCAGACATTTTGTTTGTGCAGAGCTATATTAAAGCAGTGTAAATAAAGTTCCGACACGCACAGAAACTGGTATCGTCCCTGCACAGATCCGAGATAATGAAGTGTGTGAAGCCGAGGGGTTCGTCCCCTAGTAACTGAAACGTCAACAGTAACAAGCTTCCCCACCAGTGCCTGAATTTGTCTTTCTCTTAATGTTCACTCTGTGCATTAATCGAGCTGGGAATCTATGGGGTGGGCTTACGTGTTGTGTCTTGAAGTACTGGACATCAAAAGCTGCTTTGCTGCTTTCTCTCTGTTCCTGTTTGAATGAAAAGAGAGAGATGTTAATCTTTGTGATGTCCTGTGGGGGTTGGGGGGTGGGGTGGGGGGCAGGAAGAAAGGAGGGACAATCTGCGGTAAAAACTGACAGTTAAAACAAAAAAAACGTTCTTAAATATTGCTGAGGACAGAGAGAGATATTGCCGTTGCTTTTCATTTTGGACCCTTGCAAGAATAACAAATTCCAAATGGTCACAACAATTTAGTCTATGGGAGGAAAGGGTGCTGATTGGTCGGCAAGTCCACTCTGATTGGCTGAAATGTTGCCATGGGAAAAGCAACAAGGAAATCTAGGCTCCCCAAAGTGCACAGTCAATTCAAAATTGAAAGAGATATATTTGTGACCTGGGAACTCATACACAATCCCTTATTCAATACAATTCCAGAGCATTTTAGCCCCACTGCCCTATCAAGTGCTCACTCTTGGCTCACAAATATTGTCTGCTGTTGTTCTGAATGAGGCGCTTGTCCTAGAGTCACAGCTTAACTAGAACAGCTAAGGTTAAAGATTATCATTCTGCAATTAATCTTGTTGTCCTGTAGAACTGCCTCCTATTTACATCATGAACTTTATTCTTTATTCATTCACAGGATGAGGGAGTTGCTGGCCAGGCAGCATTTATTGCCAATCCCTAATTGCACAGAGGGCAGTTCAGAGTCAACCACATTGCTGTGGGTCTGGAGTCACATGTAGGCCGGACCGGGTAAGGGTGGCAGTTTCCTTCCGTGAAGGACATGAGTGAACCCAGATGGGATTTTCCCAACAATCGACAATGGATTCGTGGTCATCATTAGATTCTTAATTCCAGATATTTTATTGAATTCAAATTCCACCGTCTGCCGTGGCGGGATTCAAACCTGGATCCCCGGGACACTATCTGGGTCTCTGGATTAATAGTCCAGCGATAATACCACTAGGCCACCTCATACCACAATAGAGTGGTAGAGCACAGAAGGAGGTTGTTCAGCCCATTGTGCCTATGACAGCTCTTTGGTAGAGCTACCCATTAGCCCCACAACTCCTAGACCTATGTTAGCTTAAGGTGGGCCCGCGTGAATGGATTTTACACCCCTCCACAAATTTTATTTATTGTCATTGGTTTTGTCTTAACTTGTGACTAATTTTGATGGCCAACACTGTTCTAGAACCTTCTACAACTGGGATCGCATTGTGTTGCTATGGCTGCACTGCTGGGGGAAGGCAATGAGAAGCTGGTGGGACCCCCTGCTCATCGAGAGGAGAGCAAACTACAGCTAAAAGCCTTGCGGAAGGGTGAAAGGTTAACCAAGACTTGGAGCGCTGTGCACAATTCTGACTCCCTGCACGATAAATAGCCTACAGAGGCACAGGGCTAGTATGAAACTAAATGACGAGGGAGCTACCACAACAGGAAAAATGATACCGGATGAGGCTCTCTGTTTGAGAAAAGGGAGAGTGGCGTGACCCAATGGAGCTCGTTATAAAATTATGAGGAGATTCAATAGGGTAGATATAGAAGAGGCGTTCCCAGTTGTGGGAAGGTTAGGGAAACGTTCTAAATGTAGGAGGGGCTGTAAGTATTCATCGCTAATTAATTCAGTCAGGAATTCAGGAGAGGTTTATTTAAACAGCCAGACTTGCTGCAACATGGAGTAGGTGAAGCTGTAAGCAATGGTACCTTTAATAAGGCACACTTTTCAAGGACAAGTATTGAATCATTACAGGCTGGAAAGGTGCAGTCAAATGGCCACCCCAGCAGAGTGATGGGTCCCCTCCTGACACTGGGAACACACACATACACACACACACACACACACACACACACACACACTCGCATACACACACACAGTCAGACAGACAGACACACACACACATTCACACACACACACACACTCTCTCTCACACACACACACTCACACACTCTCACACACATACACACACACACACTCTCACATACACACACACACACTCGCAAACATACACACACACACACCCACACATATACACACACACACGCACACTCGCATACACACATGCGCGCGCGCACACGCACACACACATTCACACACACGCACGCACACACACAGACACGCACACACACACAGACACACGCACACACACAGACACACGCACACACACAGACACACAGACACATACGCGCACACACTCTCGCACAGACACACATATGCGCGTGTGCACTCATGCACACAAACACAGACACAGACACACACACACAGAGTTCCTGGAAATATCTGGATTCTGGTTTGCATCTTGCATCCTGACATGGCTAAGCTGACCAGGGAGTGCAGTATGCTGTCTTGTCTGTGTTTGGTCATGTCGAGCAAATGACCCACAGCAGGAGCTAAACTGAAATGGGGCTAAAGATGGACAGGGGACAGATGATCAGCCTCACATCTTGAAAACTGACAAATCTGCAGATGCTGTAAAAACAGAAGTTGCTGGAAAAGCTCAGCAGGTCTGGCAGCGTCTGTGAAGAAAATATCAGAGTTAACGTTTCAGGTCCGGTCACCCTTCCTCAGAACTTCACCTGTCACCAGACCCGAAACGTTAACTGTGATATTTTCTTCACAGAAGCTGCCAGACCTGTTCAGCTTTTCCAGCAACTTCTGTTTTTGTTCCTCACATCTTGAAAACCTGCCTTGTATTCATTGCTTCGCAAGGTTCAAACAGTGACTAAAACAGGGTAAACTACCAGCATCTAGAAATGAAGCCCATTAACCAGTGTGGATCATGGTAGTTGGGTGGTGTCTGGGGAGTGGGAGTAGTCAGGTCATGTTGGGCAAGTGGTGGTGGGAGTGAAAGTTGGGTTTGGTTGGGTCAAGTCAAGAAGGACAGTTGGGGCATCAGTTCAGTTACGCTAACAAGGTGTGGAGCTGGATGAACACAGCAGGCCAGGCAGCATCAGAGGAGCAGGAAAACTGATGTTTCGGGTCTGGAATCTTCTTCAGAAAGGTCTGATTTCTGTATGTGTGTGAGTGTATGTGTATGTGAGGATATCTGTGTGTGTGTGTGTGAGGATATCTGTGTGTGTGTGTGTATGTGTGTGTGAGGATATCTGTGTGTGTGTGTGTGTGTGTGTGTCTGTGTGTGTGAGGATATCTGTGTGTGTGTGTCTGTGCGTGAGGATATCTCTATGTGTGCATGTAAGAATATCTGCGTGTCTGTATACGTGTGTGAGAGTTTCTGTGGGTGTGTGTGTGAGGATATTTGTGTGTGTGTGTGTGTGTGTGCGTGTCTGTGTGTGTGAGGATATGCGTGTGTGTGAGGATATGTATATGTGTGTGTGTGTTTGTGTGTGTGAGGATATGTATGTGTGAGGAAATGTGTGTGTGAGGATATGTGTGTGTGTGAAGATATGTGTGTGTGTGTGTGTTTGTGTGTGTGAGGATATGTGTGTGTGTGAGGATATGTGTGTGTGAGGATATGTGTGTGTGTGAGGATATATGTGTGTGAGGATATGTGTGTGTGTGAGGATATGTGTGTGTGTGAGGATATGTGTGTGTGTGAGGATATGTGTGTGTGAGGATATGTGTGTGTGTGAGAATATGTGTGTGTGTATCTGTGTGTGTGTGTGAGGATACCTGTGTGTGTGTGTGAGGATGTCTATGTGTGTGTGCGCATGTCTGTGTGTGTGAGGATACGCGTATGTGTGAAGATATGTGTGTGCGTGTTTGTGTGTGTGAGGATATGTGTGTATGAGGATATGTGTGTATGTGAGGATATGTGTGTGTGAGAGGATATGTGTGTGTGAGGATATGTGTGTGTATGAGAATATGTGTGTGTGTATCTGTGTGTGTGTGTGTGTGTGTGAGGACATCTGTGTGTGTGTCTGTGTGTGTGTGTGTGTGTGTGAGGATATCTGTGTGTTTGTGTGTCTGTGTGTGTGAGGATATCTCTATGTGTGCATGTAAGAATATCTGTGTGTCTATATATGTGTGTGAGGGTTTTTGTGGGTGTGTGTATGAGGATATCTGTGTGTGTGTGCACATGTCTGTGTGTGTGAGGATATGCGTGTCTGTGAGGATATGTGTGTGTGTGCGTGTTTGTGTGTGTGAGGATATGTGTGTGTATGAGGATATGTGTGTGTGAGGATATGTGTGTGTGAGAGGATATGTGTGTGTGTGAGGATATCTGTGGGTTTGTGACATGCATTCCAAATTTGCATCCAGATTTCAACAATACAGATACTAGAAGATTTGAGCCAATTGGAAGGACTATCAGGTTAAGACAAGACCATCTCACTAGTTAATGTCATGGTCCCCTAACCCTGTCAATCCCTGTCTTATTCTATTCTAGTCTGTCCCACAGCCTCCACAATGACCTGTAAATAGCTCAATGCAGTTTCCATTTTGCAAGGCTCCTTCACCTCAGCCAGTTTTATTCAACCTGAATCGCCAACAGGGGCTGGTCTTCTCACGTAACGTTCAGAGGTGAAAGGTGAAAGCTGTTCAAGAATCACGAGGGGTCAGGACAAAGTAATAGGGAGAAATATTTCTACTGGTGAAGGGTGGTGACTGAAAGGAGGCAGGTTCAGTTGTGGGAATTGGGTAATTATTTGAAGAAGAAACATTGACTGGGGCTACAGGGGAAAGGGAAGGGCTAAGCTGCAGTTACAGAGGGTGGGCCCAGGTGGGTGGCATCAATGGACTCTTTCTGTGCAGCAGTCTACGTTTCCACAGACGAATGGCCTCACCTCTTCCGTTTGCTGCTTGCTGGCATACTTTGTCAACGTCGCCCAGACCTCCATGAAGGCTTTCGACGCCACGCGTAGATGCATGCAGACCCGGCACATCAAAACCACTTTCTTCGCCAAAACACGGAATGTCTTGCGGACCTGGGAGGACAAGGGGTCTGAACGTAAGGGCGTGCCTCGCAAGCAGCCGCCCGCTGCCACCGGTCCACGCAGCGCGGCGACCGGAATTCATCTTTACCCTTCACCCTTGTCGCTGATCCACGGGCTAGACACTTTGTCAGCCGCATCCATTACACACACTAGTGCGGCAACAGAGCAGAAAGGACCTGTATTTATACACAGCACCTTCACGTCTGTCCCCGAACTCCTTCACGGCCGATGAGGTCCCCCCGAATGGCAGTCACTGCTGTCGTGGAGGAAAAGTGCCAGGCAATTTGTGCTCAGCAAGCTCTCCCTAACAACACCGAGTTAACGACCAGGTATCCTCTCATCATGAGGGATAAATATCGGCCAGGACGCTGGGTGGGAGGGGACTTTTAAAATGAAGTCAATTCTTCATCTATACTCTCTTCCCCGGCTCCTGCAGTCTTCTTCCATCTGATCCCACGGGATTTCTGTCGCGGCCCACCTGAGAGAGAAGGCTGGGCCTTACTTTCTAAATCTGGTCAGAAGACGGCACTTCCTGCAGTGAAGCATCTTGTCAGTACTCTACGGGGCGGGGGAATATCTTCGCAGCTTGGGCTAACGTACTCAGATCTCCCGTGTGGGACTTCAACCAGCAATCTTCTGACTCAGGCGCAGGATGTGACACAAGGGAGACTGAAGTGAGGAAGGCGGGGTTGGCTTTAATAGGACCGAGAACAAAGAAAATTACAGCACAGGAGCAGGCCCTTCAAGCCTGCACCGACATGCTGCCCATCACAACTAAAACCCCCTACCTTTCCGGGGACCGTATCCCTCTATTCCCATCCTATTCATGTATTTGTCAAGATGCCCTTTAAAAGTCACTATAGTATCTGCATCCACTAGCTCCCCCACCAGCGAGTTCCAGGCACCCGCCACCCTCTTGTGTAAAAAACTTGCCTTGTACATCACCTTTAAACCTTGCCCCTCGCACCTTCAACCCGTGGCCCCTGGTAACTGACTCTTCCACCCTAGGAAAATGCTTCTGACTATCCACTCTGTCCATGCCCTTCATAATCTTGTAGACCTCTATCAGGTCCCCCCTCAACCTCCGTCGTTCCTGTGAGAACAACCCAAGTTTCTCCAACCTCTCCTCATAGCTAATGCCCTCCATACCAGGCAACATCCTGGTAAATCTTTCTCTTCAAAGCCCCCACATCCTTCTGGCAGTGTGGCAACCAGAATTGAACACAACACTCCAAATGCAGCCTAACTAAGGGTTCTATAAAGCTGCAACGTTACCTGCCAATTTTTAAACTCAATGCCCCGACTGATGAAGGCAAGCATGCCATATGCCTTGTTGACTACCTTCTCCACCTGCGTTGCCACTTTCAGTGACCTGTGTACCTGTACACCCAGATCCCTCTGCCTATCCGTACCCTTAAGGATTCTGCCATTTACTGTATATTTTCCATTTGGATTAGACCTTCCAAAATGCATCACCTCACATTTTTCCGGATTAAACTCCGTCTGCCATCTCTCTGCCGAAGTCACCAACTGATCTATATGCTGCTGTATCCTCTGACGGTCCTCGTCGCTAGCCACAATTCCACGAACCTTTGTGTCATCGGCAAACTTACTAATCATACCAGTTACATTTTCCTCCAAATCATTTATATATATTACAAACAGCAAAGGTCCCAACACTGATCCCTGAGGAATGCCACTAGTCACAGGCCTCCATTCAGAAACGCACCCTTCCACACCCTAATGTCCAGTCAGTATGTTTATGTCGTTGAGTCATAGACTTGTACAGCACAGTAACAGACCCCTCAGTCCAACTCTTCTTGCTGACCAGATATCCTAAATTAATCTAGTCCCATTTACCAGCATTTGGCCCATTTCCCTCTAAACCCTTCCTATTCACAGACCCATCCAGATGCCTTTTAAATGTTGCAATTGTATTATCTTCCACCACTTCCTCTGGCAGCTCATTCCACACACGCACCACCCTCTGTGTGAAAAAGTTGCCCCTTAGGTCCCTTTTAAATCTTTCCCCTCTCGCCTTAAAACCTATGCCCTCTAGTTTTGAACTCCCCCACCCCCAGGGAAAAGGACCTTGTCTATTCACCCTATCCATGCCCCTCATGATTTTATAAACCTCTGCAAGATCACCCCTCGGCCTCCGACGCGATCACGTAGCTGACTGGGCTCTGGAGTCACTGACCACTCCTAGTTGCAGCGTGTGTTCCCCCCCTCCCCAGTGATGTGAAACTGCTCGTTTTTTTCTCTCTCTCTCTCTTTGACTGATCTCCGGAAATGTTTGTGAATTCGCGTCGCACGGAAATGGGCCCTTTGGCCCAACTGGTCCGTGCTGACCGGGTTCCGTTATTCTACCAGGCTGAAGGGCTGAAGGGCCTCCCGCCTTGCGGTTGCCTCGTCACCGTCGCCCAGCCGAGAGCCCTGACGGCGGTGCGGTTTGGGATCACACTGTGCGCAGCCCTCACTTGCCCCAGCCATTTTGGGGCTGGCTGAAAGTGGCAAAAACCCTGAACGCATCCCCCAGGCCCGAGAACTGTCAACTTTACATCAATCAAATGCTTCACTTACCGTGACCTCTTCTTCTGGATGGTGATGCGTTTCCTGTGGAAGGGGTAGGGGAAAGGGGGAAAAACGCAGAATTGAAAGAGAGAAACAGCAGCTTGGAGCATATCGACGATCAAATCACTTGAGAGGGCAACGGTCTGGCATTTCATTGCTGAGGAAGCGCCCATGCATCATCACCCCCCCACCTCCAACCCACCGCCACCCCCCGTCCAACCCCTACCACCCTGTTCCAATCGGTAGGGCCTCACATTGGGCAACCCTGAATGGGTCAGTAACTCACTCCCAGGCTTTGGGCCTGTGTCCACAGCATAGGCCTGGCCTCCAGATCAGTGAGTGCTGGCTTCCCAACTCCACCCCCGTCTCCGCCCCCTCCATTAGATAGTGCTGCCATGTGCAGGATGTTAACGGGGGAACATGACCCGGACGGGAGATGGCACTGCAGGGGTTGGGGAGGAGGTGGGAAGGGACATGGCATTGGTGGGGGGGGAAGATGGATGCACTGTACTGCCAGAAGCAGAAGTGTACACAATGTAAGCCTGACTTTAATGTCTAGAGAAGGGGCTAGACACACAATGCCATGGTCAGGACAAAGTTGGCGATGGTTTTGTAAATGGTGCCAGGATTTTGGATTCAATGCATTGTGGTGAGCTTAGGCACTGGGGGAAACGGCAAGAACAGGGAGCAATAGAGTGGGATAGGACCAGTCTCTTATATTCATTCACGGGTTGAGGGTGTCACTGGCCAGGCAGCATTTATTGACCATTCCTAATTGCCCAGAGGGCAGTTAACAGTCGACCACTTTGCTGTGGATCTGGAGTCACATGTAGGCCGGACCAGGTAAGGATGGCAGTTTCCTTCCCTACAGGACATTAGCGAACTTGATTGTTTCTTAACAATGATTGACAGTGGTTATGTAACCACCATTAGCCTAGCTTTTTATTCCAGGTTTTAAAACTGAATTTCAGTTTCAATGTGTCATGGCGAGGTTTGAACCCACACCCTCAGGCCATTAGCCTGTGTCTCTGGATTACTGTGTGGGTGTGATAGGGAGGCGAAGAGGGTTGGGTGGAGAGGTAGAGTGTAACAAGAAGGGGGAGAGTGTGAAAGGGAGGGGGAAAGTGTGGAAGGATGGGGACAGTGTAATAGTGAGTATGTGACAGTGAGTATGTGATAGTTAGTGTGTGATAGTGAGAGTGACACAGAGTGTGACAGTGAGTGTGACAGTGAGTGTGTGACAGTGAGTGTGTGACAGACTATGTGACAGTGAGTGTGTGACAGTGAGTGTGTGATAGTGAGAGTGACA